CTCATTAGAGGGCACAGTTGATTTCCATCACCTCATGTGTTGGTCTACTCATTAATCTGTTAATGAAACTGTGAAAATCAGCAGGGGTCTCTGGGCCTATATGAATGTCAAGCTCCTACAGCATATGTAGGGCCCACACATGCAAATATACAAGATTTTTTATGGTTATAGCATTTCGTTTCATCTCAGAAGTGGTCTCACATCCAGGAAAAGACAAATTATTCAATAACTGATGTGGAGTCAACTGTCTATCCGCTTGAAGAATAAAGCTGGATCCTCTTTCACCAAAATAAATTGAAGATGGTACAAGAATTAAAAAAAAAAATCTTCTGACCTTTGTAATAAAAATGCATGCTGTCTTACCAAAAAAAACCCACAAAAACACCCCACAGTCATACACATACAAAGGTACATGTTTGTATACATACCTAATGTGCGTGTGCTTAACCTCATTAAAATAGAAAAAAAGGATATGAATTTTTTTCCAATGGATTGTGGAAAATGGAAGACCTTTCTAAGCATGACATAAATCCAGAAGTCACAAAGGAAAATATGATAATTCTGACCATGTAAAAACTTTAAATTTCTCCATGGAAAAAAAAAGACCAGAACAAGATGAAAGGAAAGCAAAAAACTAAACAAAAATATTTTTAACATATAAGACGAAGCGCCAATTTTCTTAATATTGGAAAGCTCCCAAATCAATTAGAAAAAGAAATAACCTTATAGAAAAGTAGGCAAGGCGACAAATAGTTCACAGAAATTAAATACAAATGACCAAAATATAAATGAAAAGATACTCAAACTTATTTGTAATTGAAGAAATACAAAATAAAACAATAATATAATAACTTTTTCACCTATCAAATTAACATTGACTAAAAAGTTTGCCAATACTCAGAGTTGGTGAGGGTGGAGAGAAGTGGACATTCTCAAACACAGTCGGTGCAAGTGTAACTGGTTCCACCTTTGGAGAACAACATGGTAATAGCTATTAAAATGTAAAATATGGGTTCTCTAGTCTTGGTAGTTCCAACGCCTAGGAATTTATCCTACAAAGATATTACCATAACGTGGAAAGATTTAAGACGTTGGTGACTGCAGCATTTTTTCTAATAAATACTGAAAAACTGGTTACAAACTTAAAATTAAGTGTGGTCCATCAATAGGTTAAATAAATCAAGCTATAGCCATAAAAGTAAGTATAATGTAGTCATCTGAAAGAATGAAGTTGATCTGTGCACACTGATGCTGGCAAGAGGTCCAATATATACTATTAAGTGGGGGCAGGGTAAACTAGTTGTAGTACAGTATAAAGTACATAGAAAATTTTTGTAAGGATACAAAAGAAATTGTTAACTAGTTAATTGAGGAAATGCAAACTTTTACTTTTTGCTTTATTTTATGCTGCTTGAATTTTTTTTAAAGATCATCTATACCTTCTTAAACAAAAAAAAAAAATCAAATGCTAGATACTGAAGAGTAATTTCATTTGTGCTCTAGTTGTAAGGGAGAAAGGACCTACAAGGGGGAGGAAAAAAACGTTTAGGGCCATCAGTCCAAGAGGGGAATTCAGCACCAGGGGGCCTCCCTCCCTCATCCAGCCCTGACTCCCCTCGGAAGCACCATCCCCAGAGACAGAAGCAGAATGAATACACCCACTGCAGACCCTCTGCCCCTCAGGACATCGGGCCCAGTCAAGTGTGGGAATTTGAATTTGGAGCCTGAATTGTCCACCACCAATCAATTATATCCCATGCCTGTGCAACAGCAAAAATAATCCAAAAAAGCGAATTACTTACTTTGCTTTAGGTCACATGCATTTTATAATTCTCATTTGAATATGGACACATATAACATTCTACAAGGCACAAAGATAAGTACTAAAAAGACAGTAAAAGTGAAATAAAACACAGTCCCTGGTACCAAGCCATTCAAAATCTAGTGAGGACAGGAAGCATGCACACAGCCAGCCAGGAGGCAGGCCCAATGGGTCACCTGCTCTAGTAAAGGAGCACAGAGAGGTCCACTGCATCTGGGGGACCAGAGGCTTCACTGAAGAGACAGCACTTCTCAGAAAGGAAGAAACTGTAAGATTACCTGAATTTCCCCTTTTTCCACTTGCTCAACTCTCTTTTTCTTTACATTTATGTGAGACAGGTAAATTTGATGGCTGTCCTTTCTCTGGCTGCTTAATTCACATCACTAAATATAATACCATCTCTTTTGTATAAGAAATCAATTCGTGTTAGGTATACTTTTCAGTATTAAATATATTAAATCAATATTTCTTCCATTAAAGTTTTATTTATTCAAGAGGTGCTTCATCATACCCATAAACCACTGAAATATCTCAAAAATTTCAGCAAATTAGCTTACACACTACATCTTTCTAACTATCTCTTATACACAGATTCCATTTATTAGTGCAGATCTCTGGTTCAGAAAATAAGGTCACCCTAGAACAATCACGAAAAAAAGTCAGCCTAGGATTTTAAGTCTATAATGAAAAGTATATGATAATCTAAGCACAAAAAACAAATGACTATCATTATTTTGTCTGTGTGTGTTTTTATTTTTTCCATCTAAAACTGGTCCAGATGCAGACGGGTATAGAACTGCTGCTCTTGTTGGGGGAAAAGAAGGAACGAGATCTTTAAGAACTTAAACCTAAAAGTTTAAACTTTTTTTCTGTTAGTGTTAGGTAGACTCTTCTGTATTAAACACATTACCATAAATATTTCTTTGATCAAAGTTTTATTTATTCAAGAGTTGTTCCATAATACCCATAAACCATAAACCCACACACCACATAAGCCATACTTAACGCTCCTCACAGGCTGTCGACACTCTTGATTATAGAGTGCAAGTTCTACAGTCACAGCTGCACATGAATCCGGGCTCCATCACTGCCTAGCTGATCACCATCGGCAATCATTCCACATCTCTGAGCTTCAGTTTCCTCACAGGTATAATTTTCCTACCTCACAGAGTTGTAAAGATTAGCAACAATCTAGGTAAATCATCCAGGACACTGCCAGGCACAGAGCAGGCCATCAGTAAAGGACAGCCAAAATCATCGGTACTGTGACTATGAGCCCTAACTCTGGAAGGTAGTGGGGCACAGGTACATCAAGCCACATTGGGGAACACAGAAAGCGAGAAGTAGAAAGTACAAGTAAGCTTCTTTTTGCCACACTTAAGAATAATCAGAACAAGCCTCCACAGTGGTTGACAATACATATATATATATATATATATATATATGCATGCTCTGGAGTCTACTCCAGAAATTCCACTCACCACTACTAGCTGCGATACTTTGAGCAAGTCGCTTAGAGGAGATGTCCTTTCCTTAACTAAAACAGAGCTAGTAATGGTCCTTCAAAGAACTTCATGGGGATATTGTGAAGGTTAAATTAAATGAGACAGCCCACGGAATGCTCTTAGCACAGCATCTGGCAACTGTAAGTACTCCAAACGTTAACTCTCAGACTGTCCATGAAAGCCCTGGCACCCCGAAGGGTTACCGCCCGGGGTCTGAATAGAGCTTGCAACACTAATATGCATTTCAGATATACGTACTATTTTTCAGTAGTATATAGAATCCACTGTGGTTAATAAAATACTAATTATTTTAAGCGTTCTACTCATGGTAGCTTTTAAAAACACACAATGATTGTTGAAAAATATTCAAACAATAGAGAAATATATAAAGTAAAAAATGTGCTCATTCAGCCAACTGTTCCCTCACTCCAGGCCCCAAGTGCTCTTTCCAGGGAGACCAGTGGAAGGCACTGTGGTGGGCACTCTTCAAACCCCTGTCTCTCAATACACACATGAAGCTGGGAGGAGGAAGGATTCGATATTTCACAAAACGGGATCATACTACAAACATTATTTGTTCACTCAATAATACATCATGGCTATCTTTCCACGTCAATGCATAAAACCCTAACTCATTCCTTTTAGCCACTGCTTAATGCTTCAGATTATGGATAAATAATTTATTAATCCATTATTCTAGGCATTTACCTTACCTCTAACTTGTTGCTACTAAAAATAATTCCACAATGAACACTTTGTCTGAAGGGCATTCAACACATGTGTAGGTATTTCTGTTGGACTGCTTCCTAAAAATGGATCTGCCGAGTCAAAGGTTTTGCACATTTTATATTTTGGTGTGTATTGCCAAATTGTCCCCCAAAGAGAACATAAATAAAAGAGAAGACATTGCACTCTCTGTCATTAACCATCTGTTTAAAAAACAAGAATAAAAAGTATACTATCATGCTGAGAAACCACACATTTTTCTCTATGGAGAAGTGGCCCTCATCTTCAAAAGAAGATGGGAACCACAGTTGCAAATCCTTACTTTACCCTTCTCAACGCTAGAGACCCTGGCTGCTGACTAAACTCTCCTCTTAACATGACTTGGACCCTGCCCTCCCCTGCAGTGACCTGGCTCACATCAAATCCAGTTTCCAGTACGCCTGACCCCAACCCCCGTCTCCAAGCCAATTGGTTTGGGGGTGGGGAACTACAAGACCTGAGGTGTTGCTGTCATCATCTAGCAGCCACGCCAAGCCCCATGAAAACAGAATTATTCTATGCAACGTTCAATTAAAATCTCTACTCTGTTGCTGTTTTAAAGCAGCAATGGAATAAAATCTCTTAATAATCATTGGCCTACAGGTAGTTTACACATTTCATTTTGTCCCACAATATTATTACAGTGAGGAGCAAGAGCAGATAAAGGTCATGGTGGTAATTAAAGCTATATTATAGAAATATGCACACCCAAGATATGATTAAATAAGAAAATATTACTTGGTTCAGTACCATCATTAAACTTGCATTAATTTATAAATATTTAAATGTACCATATGATGATCATAAATAATCTGTTTTTGTCAGTTTCTAAAGTAATGCAACCCATAAACCCTTTGAAAAATTACTGCAGAAAGAAACAGTCAAGAAAGTATACAAGCCAGACTTACATTCAAATGCTGTGGTTGTTGCTTCAGGCAGAACCTGTCCTATCACATCCTAGACAAAGAAAGAATAAAGAAACACAATTAGCCATCTTCTTTATTGCTAACATGTGGCAAATCCTAGAGAAAATATGACAACCCGGAAAAGGTTTCTGAAACGTTGGCATAAACTATAAAAACATTAGCTCATAATCACACTTAGCCCAACAAGGTAAGCCCAGAGTTTAAATCTCTGGGGGGCGGGGGGGTATCTTCACAAAATCTTTCCTACTGTATATTAATAAAATAATCTTCCACTCTCAATTCAACAGTATATACAAATACACTGTTATGTAGTTACCAAAAAAAACTGGTTCCTTCTATGGGAGGCTGCACTGCAATAGAAAGAGTAAGAGTTTGGGGGTCAGACTGGCCTGGGTTTGAATCCCAGCTCTGCACTTACTGGCTGCGTGACTGGTAACAAATTACTTAACCTCTCTGAGCCTCAATATGACTATCCTATGGGTCTTGCAATACTCCTGGAGGTAATGTAAAAATTGAACAATGTGATAAACATAAGGTAGTCTAGCACACTGTAGACATTCAACAAATGTAGTTCCTGATAGATAACTAGCAACACCTTGCCTTGGACTCATAGCAGGAAGAGTTCAAAACACAAGTTTCTGTGATGACAATATAAACCCATATTGCTGCATTTAATACAAACAATTCTTATCAACCTTCACTTTCAAGCAACTGAAGAATATATATTTAATGGCACTGAAATAAAGTTAACCTAGCCTACAAAAATTTTTTAAGTGTATATAATGCGATATCAATGTTTACATGAACTTATAAACTTGAAAATTAGTCTACAGAGGCAGTTTAATTAAAGAGGCAGAGAACACCTTCAAGAAATAGTGAGTTCTGCGAAAAGTGACCCTCCATTGTGTCCAGGCCAACCCAAATGGCCTGCAAACCTCGCTGCTCTTAGGGAGCTCCGCTACAACGTCCCTCCTGGGTAGTGCCAGAACTGGCACCAAGCAGGGGGCCGACAAAGCCACTGGCAGCATTCCTCAGCAGGGAGCCACAGCCACAAAACTTGTGTTTTGAACTCTTCCTGCTATGAGTCCAAGGCAAGGTGTTGCTAGTTATCTATCAGGAACTACATTTGTTGAATGTCTACAGCACTTGGCAGAGTGGTGGCTGCAACATCCTTCTAAAGGCAGTTCTTCAGAAGCTTTCGCTGCAGTGCCAATTTGCATAATAGCCTCACCTCTACAGGGCTTTTTTTTTTTTTAAATAAATCTGTGTATATAAAATTGATCAAAGGGAACTATCACAGGCAACCCTCACTCATTAGTGCCAAAGGAGAGTTTTTTTTCCTTCTGACCCTAGTATTAGCAAATGAAATAGCAACTTTTTTGAGGAAGTATTTGTAAAAGATTTTAGTGTTAAAAAAAATTCTTTTCTACACACTGGTAGGTAGAAAGTATTTATTGACAAGTAAGTGGAAACTGTAGAGCGAGTACGGAATAAACTATAAGGCTGCCAGTGTAAAACCTGAGAGCCACACTGCTGGGGTTGGCACTCAGCCTCTCTGTGCCTCAGTTTCCTCCTGTGTAAAATGAGATCATAACTGTACCTTCTGCATAGGACAAAATGGTTAATAATAAAGTGCTTAGAAGAGTGTCTAGCAAACGGAAAGCATCATATATATACATATAGATCTATATATAGTGTGTTAAACAAATAAAACAAGCCATTGATGACCAGAACATTACAAACTTACCTCATGATGAAACCTTACATTTCAGCACCTGACAATCGGTGGAGGATGGTCATTTGTTCACTTCATCCATCCACAGCATTTATTAGGGACCTTTTCTAGGTAGTATCAGTAACCAAAAAAGGGGGGGGACTCCACCCTCAACCCTCCAGGTCTGGGCTATCACTGGTCACCTCCAGGGAACTCCCATCACTCAGACAACCAAGCTTGAGAGGTGAACTCTACAGACTAATTTAGGATCCTTCCTATTTATGAAGAGCAAACCCCATCAAACAGCAAATTCCTAATAACTAGCTGAAAACCCTGCCAGGCATCAATGGCACCCTTTGCCCATTAGCATAAACAAGGAGCCACACATACTTTACATCTAATGCAGGCGAAAAAGAGAGAGAAAAAACAAACTTGCTTGAGAGAATCATCAGAATACAACTGACTGTCTCGTTTTGTTAAAGCAACTAAAGTGGGGTTATCACAACGACAAAGCAGTAAAACGTTTGAAAATTAGTCAATATTTACTAGTCATTTCTAAGCAGGGTACATTTTATGATTTTATGTGTATTTTCCAGTTATATTCTTAAGTGACTTATTTCAAAGTGACCCTGTCTTATTCTCAACATTTATGTGACCAAAAGAAAACTTACGTTTATATATCTTGATGGTGATCTTTTTTTGATCCTTTTCTCCTCCTACCTTTTAATAAATCAGTCAAATATATGACAGCCCGAAAGTATAATTAAGAATCTACAGCATGGGCCAGCCCCGGCGGTCTAGTGGTTAAGTTTAGCAAGCTCAGCTTTGGCAGCCCAGGGTTCAGTTCCCATGCGTGGACCTACACCGCTCTGTTAGCAGCCATGCTGTGCTGGCAGCCCACATACTGAAAAATAGAGGAAGACGGGTATGGATATTAGCTCAAGGCGAATCTTCCTCAGTTAAAAAAAGAAAAGAATCTACAACATGCCAGGAGCATAACGATCACAAAGCCGTAGGCTACCAAAGAATGAGACATGCTCCTTGACCTTAGGAAGATTATAATCTGGTCGTGGAGATAAAGACAAGCCTAAAAGACTAACAAGAAGAGCACTGACAGTATGATAGAAAGCAAACAAAAGACGCAAACAGCAAACACTATTTGCTAACTCAGGAGCAAGGAAAAATCACAGGCTTGGTTTAGACAGATGAGGGGAAATCTGAGCTGGGAGCTGGGAGACAGGATTCAAACGGCAAGAGGAAGAGCGAACATCCTCTCCTCCCACTCACTAATCTCCGGCACAATCTCCCCAAAACTGGGGACTATATCTACAAGGAAGAGAAACACAGAAAACTGAAAAACAGAAAACCCAAATGTCTCTGCCCTTGAGAAGCAGCCAGCCTCTAATTATTCAAACGAAGAACACAGGCCCAAAGAGGCCCAGTGACTTGCCCAAGGTCTCCCAGCTACTTGATGAAGCTGTGTCTGAAGCCCTCAACACTGACTCCAGCTCCAAAACACTCTCAGTGACAGGTGACTCAGTGACTACAAACTGCATCTGGCTTCTGTGTCCAGTTTCGCCAAAAACTAGCTGTGTGGCTTTGGCATTTTCCCCTCTGGGGTTCATGCCTCCTCATTTGAAAACTGGGGTAAGGAGAGTTATATTAGATGAAGGGGATGCTAACAGGTTTCATTTGGCTTTAAATTTTAAGGTTCCAAGCCAAAGATGCTGATACATCTGGAGTTTTTTGGCAATTTCTTGATGAAGAGATGAGGTGAACCTGGAGAAGAGATCGCAGGAGTCCTCCAGGGTCTGGGCTTGCTGTTCAAAGAACTTGCTGTAAGGAGCACTAGGAGATAACACAGCACCCATTGCCACGAGCCCTTCATCAGGCCTTCCCAACAAAACATCCTCCACCGGGGTTTACCTGAGCACGCTCGTGTGAAGACACGTGCACAAGCTCTAGATGGTGGGACCAGGTGGGCAAAGTTTACTTTTAGGCCAGTCAGCCTTGAGCCAAGGTACAACTGAGAGATGCTTGAAAGCAGAAGACGCAGGCCCCATCCCTTATGTTGTAATAACAACACCACCACCACTTAGAGAGCACTCACTAGGTTCCAGATTGTTCCAAGTGCTTTACATATGTCAGCTCCAGTAATCCTCAGAACTCTAGGAGGTAGGTGCTATTTTTTTCTTTTTAAGAGAAGAAAGGAGATGCAGAAGACACACGCTCAAGTGAGTCTGGCAGGCCTTGCAATTTAAACCCAGGCAGTCTGGCTCCAGAGTTTGTGTTTTGAAACCCTGTGCCATTCTACTTAAAATAATACCTTCTGGTGTCCCAAATGAGTAAAGTGAAAGAAAGCTCATGTCTTTCTCCTCCTAGACACAATCTCACTTTACCTTACAAGTCTTGGAGGCAAGTATTACCCCTACTTTCCAAGGAAGGAAACTGAGGCTCAGGGAGGCAGATTGACTTGCCTAGTTAGTAGGACAGCTTGCAATTAAACCCAAATTCCTTGATTCAAAAACTAGTGTACTGTCCACAAAACCACAATTGCATGCACTCTCTCTTAAGCTCCCTCATTAAACAAATACTTCAGGATCCTATGAAGCACCAGAAACAGAGGGGAGTCAGATGTCCACCTCCGAAGTCTACCATCCAGTGGAGGAGACGGACAGAGTTATGATAAAACCTGTGTGCTTTGCCAGAATGAAGCTGCGGGAACACAGAGGAGGGGCACGTAACCAAGACCAACAGGATTGGAAAAGTGAGGGTGGGCTTTGACAGACAGGCGGGAGTTGGGCAGCTGAAGAAAGGGGCTGAGTGGAGACAGCATGGGCACTTGAGAGAACTCAAGGTTACTTCTACATACTTGGAGCACAGGATGCTCATGGGGGTGTGGAGAGAGACTAAGCTGGTGCCAGGCAGGCACAAGCCGATAGATCAAGATGGGCCCAGGGGGACATGCTAAGAAGTCTGGGCCTAGTCCTGAGGAGAAATCTATTTGCATGTGAGTGTGTGGAGAATTTCGGATGCAAAGAGAGGGATGGCATTTGGTGTGCAAGACTGGAGGCTGCTGGTTCACTCCAGCCTCTGCGCTTCTGGCCCAGACACTTGAAAATCTGTATGATCTGGGTGGTCAGTCACATCCAGAACTCAAAATCAAGGTCCAAAAATCAGACTTTGAGTAACCTACGGCAATCAAAAATCGCATCACAGGTCTTCCTCCTCCCAAGAACCCTCACTCAGCCCCATCTTATCTTGCAGGTAAGTTCCACTACAGACCTGGTACTTGCAACGTGCTTCTTGGTATGTCAGTTCTGCCTTTGATAACTCAGTTATGCCCTATATAAAATGGGCACAATCACTCTATCTCCAATGAATGCTAAAGTGTCACTCAGCATGTGGAAATAAATACTAAGTAAAAGTAAGGAAATCTGAGTTCTGGTGCTGACTCTCCCTCTTTCACAAACAACACAGCTTTGGAAAAGCCATTTCACTTCACTGCTCCTCAGGAACTACCTGCAAAAAAGATCAGAGGCCCCCACAGGCCACCTCCAAGGGCCCACTCTGCTCTAACGTTCCATGGTTTTATTTGAAATACATACGAGTATTTATTATGAAAGTAAGACTACACCACTAATTCTAAGATGCCCATTTTCTCTATCTTAACATCTCTGCAACTGGGCTGTTTTTGTACAATGTGGGGTGTGTCACAGTTTAATGAGCAGCATTTTTTCCCTTAGTGGTACATAAAACAATATCTTAAGACCAATGACACCTTAGGTTTGTTGAAACATGCTAAGTTAGAGTTGCCTTGTTTCTCCTTCCCACTGGTCACCAAGTTCAAGGAACTCAGTAGAAAGACATGGCTGCACTCTGGCCAGGGACATTCCACCAAACACGGGAAAAACTTCTACACTCAGCTTTTCATATCCCCGTTGGTTGTTTCTGTGGGTATGTCCCATTCCAGGCTGTGAGCTCCTTGAGGGCAGAGGTTCAATATGATTCAACTCTATCTCCCCAGGGCCCAGCACATTTGCCAGATTTCAGTCCATGCAATCAGTCAATGCTTGTGGTGGAAGCAATAAAACTGCCCCCACAGGAGGCCAGCAATGGCCATCGCCACCAGCTCAGGCCCCTAGGGTGACATTCAGCGGTCCAGGAGCTGACTACCCCACAAACTCCTGGCCCCCCTCGCTGGGATTTGGGCACTGAGATCAGCACTCACCAGCACATCCCTGAAGAGTAGCTGCGGCCCGGAGTGCACTGTCCAGTCCACCGCGCCACTATTTGGAATCTTGATACGAATCACCAGCACCTGGTTCTCCATGGCACGGAAGGGGCCAAGGGCCAGCCACAGCATTACAGGCTAAAAGGGCTCACATCCTGGGTAGCAGGTCCCCACTGGCCCCTGGTCAGGCGGGGGCTCCAAGGGCGAGGAGGCGCGAGGAGGCGACGGTGGTGGCGAAGGGGCCCGCAGGCACCGCGCCAGGCCCAGGCCGTCGGGGGCCGAGGGCTGTCTCCCCGCGAGCGTGGACCGGGCGAGGGCAGGGGCCAGCAGGAACTAGGGGAGGTCAGAAGGTTCTGGAGTTGGAAAAGAGGGCAAAACGGGATCTCTGCCACCTGTGTGGGTGTGAGGGGACGGCAGAGAGAAGCCCCCGTTTAGCGAGATACAGCGGCAGGTGTCCACTCTTCCTCAGTGGACGAGCGGAGGGTCCCCGACTGGAGCGGACTCTGTCCGGGGCTGACAGGAAGGAGCCCGGGGGCCGCCGGACCGCGAGGAAGCCGAGGGGCCCCTCCGCGGGACGGGCAGGGGGCGCGTCCTCTGCCTGACCACGAGCCGGAGGGCGCGGCGCGCGGCTGTCCGAGGCCGCGCTTTCCGGCAGCAGCGGCGGCGGCGAGCGAAGGAGGGGGAAGGCGGCGGCGGCGAGGGCACGACTACTCCGGAACCAAAACGCGCGGCGCCGGAACCCGCGGAACCGGCGAGCGGGACCCGCCTCCCGCGGCGCCATGTTGGAAGAGGGCAGCCCCGGCTGGACCCGCCCCCGCGACGGGAGGGCGGGACCCGGGGAGCGAGCCGGGCGTCCGGGCGAGAATGAGGGGACTAAAAGATGCGGGAGCCGCATCGCCAACTGAGCGCCCACGGTGGCCGAGTGCCGACCCTTTCCTTTCCTGACCCTCGTTAAAGGCGGCGAGGTGAACACATCTAACACGCGAAGGAGGAAACTGAAGTTGGGCAGGAGTCGGCCAAAAACCAATTGGCTTAAAATTGCGTGCTGTTTGCCTTTACGGAAAGAAGCCTCAGAAAGACAACTGCAGCCCTCGTCTCTCCCTACTTCGGAAGCCGGGTACCTAAATATTCCTGGGTGGTTGTGCAGCAAAGCAAGGACTCAAAAAATAGTTGTCTTTTTCGTTTCCTTCTTCGAAGTTACAGATCCAGGGATCATTATCGCCCGTATTAGCAAAGCAAGTCTGGGTTATTCGGCGAGGTTCTTTACCCCACGATTGCCCTGAAATAGCCAAGGGACCCCTATTCAAAAGCGACAGTGAAGAAATTCAGTGAAGAGTCTGAGTGCCTGGGGACAGCTGCAGTAGTGGCATCATCTTCTCTCATTAAACGTTTGCAAAAAATATCTAGTCCATAAATTTTCAACTAGATAGCAATGTTTGCGCAACCGGTGATGTCACAGGCAGTAGCAATAACCCTTGGTTATTTTTAAATGCCTTGTTAACCTCAGATTTTAAATTGCATAATTGTGTTGATCTATGCTGCTTGTACAGAAGTTTGTTTACAAATTGCAACGTGTAGCTCCGTCCTTTATCTCATTCTAATGAGAGTACACATATCGCTTTGCTTTTGGAGACTAGATTTTGTATAAACTTGGTGGGAGAGGAGTGTCGTTTCCCCCTCTAGTAGTCGGATAGTTGGTTAATGAGAGAAAATAATTTAAATCTTGGTTACTTTCAGTATAATACCAAAATTTCTTTCTGCATGTTTTCTCTGCCTAGTTTCTTTTATCTTTAATCTGGAAGTCCATTGTAGGAGATGAATTCTCTCTTTTCAGTTATTCTAAATTAATAGCTTAAGTAGAAATTCATTTACTCGCATCCTCCACACGTTCTAGGAATTGCTCCTTTCCACCTACACTTCAGTCCTGTGAAAAATAAATCGTTTGCTCAGGGTCCCCAAGTACTTTTTATTGAAAGTTCGTTTCCTATTATTTGAGAAAACAGACTGTAAAACTAGAGATTTTTCTATGAACCTAAGATTTGTTAAAACGGCTGTTTTATGCGTAGTACTGTGGGAAAAACCAACTCAGTTTGTGCTTTCAATTCTTTTGGATTTATACCCAGAGGTAGATTTGCTGGATCGTATGGTAATTCTATTTTTAATTTTTTAAGGGACTGCCATGCTGTTTTCCGCAATGACTGCACCGTTTTACATTCCCACCAATAGTGCCCAAGGGTTCCAATTTCTCCACATCTTCACCAATACTTGCTATTTTTTGTATTTTTGTTAGTTGTCATCCTAATGGGTGTGAAGTAATATTTCATTGTGGTTTTGATTTGCGTGTCCCTGGTGATTAGTGATGTTGAGCTTCTTTTCATGTGCTTGTTGGCCATTTGTATATCTTCTTTAGAGAATTATTTATTCAAGTCCTTTGCCCATTTTTAATCAGGTTTTTTTGTTGTTGTTATCAAGTGATTTTTTTTTTTTTTTGAGGAAGATTAGCCCTGAGCTCACTTCTACTGCCAATCCTCCTCTTTTTGCTGAGGAAGACTGGCCCTGAGCTAACATCCATGCCCATCTTCCTCTACTTTATATGTGGGACACCTACCACAGCATGGCTTGCCAAGCGGTGCCATGTCCGCACCCAGGATCCCAAGCAGCGAACCCCGGGCTGCCGAAGCAGAACGTGCAAATTTAACCACTGCACCACCAGGCCGGCGCCTCAAGTGATTTTTTTTAATGAGGAAGATGATAATTTACTATTACAAATTCAGAGAGATTTTCCTTCAACTCTTTTTACCTTACTCTCAATCTTGAATTCTTAACCCAGAATTTGACCCCATCCCACACTTTACTGCTGCTGCTTCAGTCCAAAAGACCGTTATACTTCTCTCCTAGTCTCTTTCTGCTCTGCCTGCTGCTACCAACCGTCTATTCTCAAGCCAATTGCCAGGATTAGATCAAGTCCCTCCTTTGGTTAAAACTCTCCAGATGGCTTCCTAACTTGTGCAGGTTAAAAGCTCAAGTCCCTTCCTTGACCTGCAAAACTCTACACATTCTGCCCTCCCCAGCTGCTGAACTCTCACCCTCAGTCACACCAGCCTCCTCCTCACTGTTCCTTGAGCCTGTCAGGCATCCCACCTCAGGGCCTTTGCCACGTCCTCTGCCTGGATTCCTCTGACCCCCCATATCCACATGGCTCACTCCCTCACATTCTGTGACTCTCGACTTAAACATCATCTTCTTGCTGAGGCCTTCCCTTAGCAAGCTATTGAAAATTTCAAACCACCCCAAACCCACCCCATCCATAGCTACAGGCCCGCGGGTGTGCACAATTCCTAGCCCCCCTCCCTGGTTTATTTTTCTCCTGGCACTTATCATTACCTGACACACCGCATGTTTTACTTATTTGTCTCCCCACTAAACTGTAACTTCATGAGGGGAGGGAACCATATGTGTTTTACTCACCGCCATATCCCTAGTACCTAAAAGAGTACCTGGCACACCGTGGGCACTTGAATCATATTTGTTGAATGAATGAATGGATTTGAAAGGCAAAGCGGATTGAGTGATAGGCATGCAGCTACCGTGTGCACCTCCTGCCTGGCTTGAGCCTCACTTGCTCCTTTGCCTGTCCACAGCACCACCACGACTGATACAACAACCTTATAGACTCCCATAGAACCACAAATTTTGTAGCAAATATAGATTACCTCCCATGTTCAAGAATTCCTCTTGTCTCCTTCATTGCCTAGTGTGGGCCCTTGTGTATAACACTCAAATACTTGTTGATTAATTTTGATTTAAAAGGATATGATGAGAATAGAGAATGAAAACAGTCAGTTTCCAGTGGGTAAACCTAGCAGACACCATCCTAACCAAGTATCAAGGTTAACGTCATCAGTGATGTCATGTCAATAACATGTACTCTGATATGATGCAATAGGAAGGGCACTGACCTCTGTGGGCTTCTTTCTAAAACTCATAAGCCCAACCTAATCATGAGAAAAACATCAGACAAACCCAGATTGAGGTACATTCTACAAAATATCTGACAAGTACTCCTCAAAACTGTCAAGGTCATAAAAAAAAAAAAACGAAGAAACCGTCACAGACCTGAGGAGACTAAGGAGACATGACAACTAAATGTACTGTGGGATCCTCAGTGGTATCCTGGAGCAGGAAAAGGACGGGAACGAAACCCTGGTGACATCTGAATAAAGTCTGGAGCTTAGTTAGTAATAGTGTACCAGTGTTGACTTTGTAGTTTTGACATACACGCACTGAGTATATGAGATGCTAACATTAGGGGAATCTGAATGAGGGTATCCGGGAACTCTCTGGACTATCTTTGCAACTTTTCTATAAATCTAAAACTATTCCAGAATAAAAAGGTTTTTTTTAAGTAAGCTGTGTTTCTACACACCAGCAAATGCCTTAGAAATTTTAATTTTGAAGATTAATTTACAATAGCAATAACCACTAAACGATAAACATAAGCATTTTCCTCATGTTGCTTAATATCCTTAGTTTTAAAAAAAAGAAGAATATAAAGAGGCATAGACAAAAATGATCAGAGACAACCCCTGAAAGTGTGACAGGAAAGTCTGCTCTCTTCTGTCTTGGCAGGAATGGAAAAGAACAGGGAACAATTCCAGCACTCAAACAGAAGTGAAATGACAGTTCAACAAATATTCATGGAACACCTACTATGTGCCAGGTACTGTGAAGTTTAGATGCGCTAAAATGAATCATTAATTTAAAATGTCAATAGATTTAACTTCTACATAATACATTTTCCTTTAGGTACAGTAGGCTGGTGTTCCTACAAATCACTTAAGCTTTGTTATTTCCCTCTTTTTGTTGTTTCAACATATCTATATTATTTTCTTTATATTAACTAACAAAATATATCTCAGATTTTTGTGGCACTTTATGGCTTGCAAAGCACTTCCATATCCTTTATTGGACAGAATTATCTTGGGCATCGTAGGGAAATACAGAGTAATGGTTAAGAACATGGACGCTGTTGACACACTGCAGAGACGGGAATAACATTCACCATATGTGACCTTGGGCAACATTTATTGGTTTCCATAGCTAAAAAATGGGGGTAAAAATAGTGCCTAGCTCATAGGGTTGTTGTGAAAGGATTAAGTGAGTTACTATGTGTAGTGTTTAGTCTAGGACCTGGCATAAATAAATACTGTGTAAATGTTAGATAAACTCCTTATTGTATATGTGAAGACACTAAGACTTAGAAAGCTCTAATTTTTCTCAAAGTTATTCAACAGTAATGGTACAGTAAGAACTTAAACCATATTTTTTATCTTCAAAACAAGGTTCTTTGTATTACACACATAGTGGAACAGCAATAATTACCAACTCAATAGCGTGATTGGGAATCAAACATAGGCATGCAAGAATGACAATATAGTTTCAGAGTGAAAGGAAACTTAGAAAATCACCAATCTAATCCTCTGCCCAATTCAAGAATTCTCTCCACACTGCCTAAGGAATTGTTATGCAGCCTCTGGAAACATCTCCGACGGCAGGACTCACTGCCTCACGAGGTAACCCGTTTTATTTTTTGGCAACACAATTAAAGCATTCTTCTTATCTCCTAGTTACTAACACATTGTTTCT